TCGCTCTCTCCACCCAAGGCATCATATTGACTCGTCATACACGATTGTAATTGTATATATGTGACTCTATAAATATTATTATTAATGTTTGAATTTTCCGCTTGTGCGATTCGTTCATTGAATCGTTTTTGACGTATGTGAATTTTTCACTTTTTTGTCGCGCTAGAGATTCATTGGGGGAAGAACGAGTCTGAATTACTGGGAGTGTCCGTTTCAATTCGAGTTTCAATGAATCACCTTGTGTTTATGCTACATTCACGTTGAGTTGACGCTGACTTGTTTCTGGAAATGTGTTATTGTTCGATATTTAAAGAACACCATTTATTATAGTGAGTCTCTGTTTATTTAATTGTTACTTGAGCGCTTAGGTTATACTATTTGACGTGCATGAGGATGATCAATTTTGTTATAGACGGTTGCGAATACATCTTGAGTTTATACGATGAAAATAAACTTTTCTTTTCTAGAATTATAACATGGTATGTAGATGCTATCGAGTTGAATAAAATGAATGGATTCTATTCGTTATTACTGATTGATGAAGTTGTTGTTTGGTACTGGCAAAGCCCCTTTCAAAGGTTCTTGTTATTTACTTCAAACTTGTACTAGATCATGGAACTTTAATTTATTCTTATGCTGTGATTAAGTTTTACTCCACAACCGGCTATGAATAACTCTTCTGTGAACATTGTATCGTTTTTATTTTATTAAATCGGACCCAATTTTTATATCTGTTCTTTCATGAATTGTTTGAAGTTTGTTCTGGTATGTCATTTTTTGTTTTTAAACTTTTAGTATTTGCTTTTCTAAACTTTTAGTTTAGTTTTTAAACTTTTAGTATTTGCTTCAGTATGTTGCTGAGTTTCCTATTATTTGTAAGGAGTACAATTAATAATGGTGTAGAATTTCACTGTAGGCTAGTCGAACCCAATTAATCAAATATTCAAGAAATGTGTAAAATATTTACATACAAAGTGCTGTAGAAAAAAATATTTTCAATCTGTATCATACTCTAGAATGAAAGAGTGGTGGTGTTAAAAGATGGTCACTCTATAAAGCGGCCAACTTGTCAATTTCATATAATACTACTACTATTTTGTATAGTACTATTCCTATTTGTCATTGAATGACCTTTTTACAGTCACAAGTCGAGGGATTCTATATTAAGAGTGCGATTCTCAGTGAATATGTATAGCTTAATATGAATTCTTTGGCAATTAAAATGTGTGAAAGATAATAATATCTGGTTCAGTTGTAGCTTTCATCATAAATTACAGCTTGTTTTAAAATTGCTAAGTTATTTAGTTGGTTTTCAGCGAGTTTACCATAATGAGTATGTTATTTTGTTTTGTTTTGGTTCCAGGAGGATGAAGCACTTCATAGTTTTAGCGTCATTTGTGCTGCTGGCATTAGCACAAAACACATTGGATTTACAGCAAGAGATGCAATGCCCTCAATATTGGATTCGGTTTCAGACTTCATGTTATAGGTTCATAAAATCACCTTTACGTTCTCGAAATGATGCCAGGAAAAACTGTCAGGTTCGTTTATTTTTTGTATTTTACAAAGCATATGTACTTGAGGCCAGTAATACAAATATCTTGTGTATTTATGTCCATGAAATCAATTTGTGTTTTTCTGAAAAATTTGCAGTTGTATTTAGGGAAGATCTTTAGTGGATCTTTACCAAGAGATAAATAATTTGAAGTCTGTATAATTGATTCACAAACTATTCTTTAGACTAAATCGGAGACTAATATTTACTTCAAAGTGCATAAAATATCATCTTCATTTTGAAGTAAAAATTATTATTTAATGCAAATCACGAAGTTTCTTGATCACTGAAACTAGTATGTACAGAATCCTTTAGATGACTGAGAGACAGGGCCTGCAAAATATAATTTGTTGTTGTTTGGAGTTGGGGTAGAATGGATAAATGATACAATGGGAATATGATTTTCAAATGAAAAAATAAGTTCCCTGTGTTTCTCATAACATATTCAGTATACACATGTCTAAATACAAATATGTACTATTCACATCATGTGATGCGGATATGTATTTTTTTAATAGGCAATAATATTTGATAGAAGGTGCTTCATAAGAATAGAACATCTTATTTAAATGATAGTGTTTTTAAGGCAAAATCAAATGTACAGAAGTAGATAATCTATTTTTAATTTACCACGACCTCTTTCTCTATGTGGCAAAAAGATGGTAATGTTATTGTGAAATATGTAAATTGGTGTAGTTTATTTGTAATTTTTTATTTTAAACATATCTGTGCTTATGTCAACACTTTTGTGGCATATTTACATGCAAGTTTCAGGGCTAAATGCTTGCAAAATCTCCAGGTTTAATAAGTATGATAGTCATTGCCAGATATGTCAAAACATTGTGTACATAAAATTATACAAACTTGAGATACACCACTTTTAACAATGGTGTTGTAAAGTGGGTTTTTTATTTTAAAGATTTTAAAACTAATGTAGCTTTAACTAAAGGCAGGCAGAGAAGTGATGTTAGTGATTTGATGTGGCTATAGATAAATTTTGTTCAGATTTTTATCTGTTGCTGTTTATTATGTATTCATAGTATTCTTGTTTCCCTTCTCTACCTTGGGTTACTTTGTCTAGTAGCATACTGACCGCATTACTAATAAAGGTCTGGTGTAAGCCAGGAGTAACGTTTACTCCAGAAGTAATTAATCTTAGCGTAAGCTCGGAGTATAATCACAGAGTAACCAAGGAGTGACTATGTGGACTTTACTCCACAAACATCTAAAAGCTCTGTGTTCACTTCTCAAATCGGATTTTTAATCGATAGTTACGTTTTTGTATCGATCGTACTGGGTATCATTGTAGCCTATTAATAAATTTAAACATTGAAAGATATGTCTTTGCATTAGGTTTCCGTGTTTTGAAACACTCTCGTCCTCCCGCCCACGATATCCTCCCGCGTCGTGGTGGAATGCCGACTGTGCCATCGCGGCGCGTGATCGAAAGCGAGCACTAGCAAAGCTTAGTATGTTATCGACAATGGATCATCTAATAAATTGTGAACGATCCGAGCGAGATTAGATTGTGCATACGGGAAAGTAAGACTGCATCTTGAGATCGTATACTTCATCACTCTCTTGCCGTACACCTCCGAAAGTAGTGTGGCGAATGGTTCGACAGATCGATGGAAGTGTTCCTTCGCCCTCTGTCTCAGGGCTTCCGGTAAATGAAAATCTTCTCACCTCACCAGAAGATATAGTTAAAGAATTGGCCTCTCACTACGAACATATCTCTGGCACCGTACACTACCCTTCTTTCCTTCTGAACACCAAAATAAGACTGGAGAACTATAAATTTGATTTCTTTAGTATCGTGGAGGAAGAGTACAATGCTTTCTCCATGGATGGATTTTCCTGTGCCCTCGCTTGCGCGAGAGACTGCTCCAGACCAGATCCATAATCAAATACTTTAACACCTACCGGAAAACGCTCCATCTTTTCTCCTCCGAATTTTCGACCTGATTTGGAATGAACATTCCTGGCCAAGGATTTGCCGCGAAATCATTATTCTAATTCCTAAAGAAGGGAAGGACGTAACAATCCCCTCGTTACCGCCCAATCTCGCTCACGAGCTGTCTGTGCAAGCTTTTGGGGCGAATGGTAAACACACCTCTGGTCTGGCTGCTGAAACACAGGAATATATTTTAACCTTTTCAGTGTGATTTCATGAAGCAGAGGTCAACTATGAACCATTTAGTCCCCTTGCCACACATCCTTCTTTCGTGCTACAACACCTGGTAGCAAAATTTTCCGACAAAGAGAAAGCGTATGACACCACCTGGAGGTACCATTCTTCGCACTTTGCATTCTCGGGGCCTTAGGGGTCGGCTCCTTTAGTTTCTAGTAAATTTTCTTTCGTCGAGATCTTTCTGCGTTCCCCTTGGTGACACGTTAGAAAACGGTGTTCCTCAGAGATCCTTTCTGAGTGCCCCTCAGTATGCCATTGCAATCAATAGTGTCGCATCAGTAATTTGAGAGCCTGTGAAAGCTCCACTCTTCGTTGATTTTGCCATATTTTGCTCTTCGAAGGGCATACAAGTTATTGAGAGGCAGTGACAGCTTGCCCTCAACAAACTGCAAGAATGGAGCGATGGAACTGGATTCAAGTTCTCCACCTCGAAATCAAGTTGCATGCACTTCTACAGAATCATCACCTCCATAATCATCCTGACCCTTTACTCTGGAGTCAACAACTTCCTTTCGTCGGATCCGCCATTTACCTTTGCCCGACGTTCGACAAGAGTTTAACATGGCGAAAGCACACTCAAAACTGGAAAGGCGATGTGTATCACAATTGAACCTCCTTCGCACCCTTAATGGTAGGTCGGGGGGCGCAGACCTAGTATGTCTCTTCTGCCAATCCTTCCATTGAATACCATACACATGGCGGAGTGCGGATCATCACAGGCGCCTACCGCACGAGTCGAATTGAGCACGAGCCGTTAGGCCGGGGCTGGCGAAACATCCCTGAGCAGTACGCGAAGCGATACGCAGTGACTTTGGCAATCGTGTTTGAAGTAGATGTATAATAAACATTGTTTATAAACAGTACCACGTGATCGTGATATTCCACAGCTAATCATATTTTCTGTAACCAAGGGTAAGAGGTACTGTAATCTAAGTGTAAATCTCGAATCCGCCAATTCTCTGATGACCTCAGTTTGTGAATAAGAAGATAGTCATCAGTGTTAACGTATTCCACGAATTCCTCGATATGCAGATTAGTTTGGAAGTACCCCATGATTGAGACTACGGGCGTGACACGTACCTGGACTACACTGAGCAATACCTCGGGCGCCCAGTTCGCGTCCCAGTTGGGGCGCGGTGCCCCGCTGGTGGGAGATATCTGGATGGGGAAACTCCACTAGCCGGTGTGTAGGACGGCTCTGGATCTCACCATTCAGCGCGGAAGATTACCGCCAGTTTCCGTGATAAACATGCGCTACATTTACGGACTTGTGACGCACCCGGAAGCATTAATCTAACCAATGTTCGTCGTGACGGAATAGAATTTGGCCATTCCCAATTTTGCCGGTAAACTCCCAAGTTGTTGTAGAGTTTGCTGAGGCATAATAGGGCATTCGCATTTTTGGAGGACAAATTAAAGAAGTGTATTCATATAATAGTACATTTGTCAAATGAAAATTGTTTTGGGGCTGTCCATAAATTACGTAACGCAAATTTGGAGTATTTTGAATCCCCCTTCTCCCTCCTGTCACCCCCGCACTTGGGCCCCTCTCTAATAATTACGTAATGCTTGTGACAAGCCCCCCCCTTTCCCCAAAGATTCATCAATATATCATTGGTGAAAAATATATTCATTTATTTTAACAATTTATAGAATATAACTTCATTAATTTATTATATTTTAAATTTAATTTGTTTATATGGTAATGTTTTAGTATAAGACTGAATAAAACGAATTATATCAGCCAATGTTGAAAGATTTTAAAAGTAAATATCAGAATTACGTAACACTAAAGTTTGACCCTCCACCGCTATGTAAAGCGGCGTAACGCTGCCTCAAACCCCCTCTCTCCTCTTCAGCATTACATAATTTATGAACACACCCTTTAAAGTCGTTATGGATTGTTTTTCTCCACAAAAAATTACAAATGCTTTCAACAAATCATAAAATGTTTAAAAGAAGTGAACATTGTGTTGTATTTATGCAATGTTGGGAAGAAATGGGTTAAAGCAATTGCACTTTCAAAAGGCAAATATTTTTGAATGTGGTTGGTTGCATCAGTCATGAATCATCATTATCAAATTATCTCACAAGAGAAAAGGTTTCAATGTTCATGCTCGGAAAGGAAATTATTAAGAGGCCAGTAAACTAAAGTGATACAATAGTATTGTACAGAACAGAGAACTGATAGACTTGATGTAAGGCAAACTGGTTGATAGTGAAACATTCAACTATAAAATTGCTAGTATTGCATAAATGATTGATAACCCAAACTGCCGCTTTAATTTGATTTACTTAGACAAAGAACAGTATGTGATATAAGCAAGAGAGTTACCATCTGCGCATGTGTATTTAGGCTCCAGAATCCTGTCCTGACATTTTAATGATAAGATGAATAAAGGTTGTAAAAAAAAAAATAATAAACAATAATAATGATGATAATGATAATAATGATAATATTAATGATGATGATGATGATAATAATAATAATAATAATAATAATAATAATAATAATAATAATAATAATAATAATAATAATATTAAGGCGCAAAATCAACAACAATTGAAAAAAATGACAATTCTGTTCCTGAGTTATAGAAAACTTATTTGCATTGGTAAACAAATTGTAGATTTGATTGCGTTTAGCAAGGTCAAGAAAAAAGTATCTCATCCCTGGCTCTACTCCTTCCACAAAAGGAGAGCTTAGCAAAACTTGCGGACAGTGAAGCTACAGTTCTACACTTCACATTAGATAATCTACTTCCATTATTCCAAAATTTTAATATGTTTGTATTGTTTGCAAATAGTAAAACTTCATTCAATTTTAAGATGCATGAACTCTGTGACCAAACATTAGTAAAGAAGCTGATTGTTCTAGTATTTGTGCTTCTTTTTCTTCTTCTTCTTCATCATTATCATCTTCTTCATCTTCATCCTCTTCTTCTTCATCTTCTTGTTCATCTTCTTGTTCATCTTCTTGTTCATCTTCTTGTTCATCTTCTTGTTCATCTTCTTGTTCTTCTTCTTGTTCTTCTTCTTGTTCTTCTTCTTCTTGTTCTTCTTCTTCTTGTTCTTCTTCTTCTTGTTCTTCTTCATCTTCTTCTTCTTCATCTTCATCTTCTTCTTCATCTTCCTCTTCTTAATCTTCTTCTTCCTCTTCTTAATCTTCTTCTTCCTCTTCTTAATCTTCTTCTTCCTCTTCTTTTTCTTTTTCCTTTTCTTTTTCTTTTTCCTTTTCTTCTTCTTTTCTTTTTCTTCTTCTTCTTCTTCTTCTTTGTCTTCTTCTTTATCTTCGTCTTCGCCTTCTACTACTTCTACTTCTCCTTCTCCTCTTCTCCTCCACTTCCTTCTCTTCTTCTCCTTCTCCTCTTTTCTTCTTCTTTCTTCATTTCTTTCATCCTCCTTCTATTTCAGAATGGGTGAGAGATGTAATAAAGAAATGGTAGTTAATATTGCTTTGTGATTTTAGGCATATGATTCCGATCTTCTGAGTGTGAATGGCTTGGAAGAACATGGTTTCATTGTATACCAACTGCTTTGGCAAGATCCTCAGCATAGGCGATGGTATACTAGCGCACGTCAGCAGAGCTTGGATTATTGGATTAACGATGGTGACAATTCACAGCTTGTTAACATGGATGCTGCATTTTTGCCTCATCAAGACTCGACACACAACAAGGATTACCTTGTGTACAGGTAATAAATATGTTGGATGTTGTGAATGTGGGAACGAATAAGTATTTTGTCAGGTGAACACAATTCCAAAATTCTTAATATACAAAACATTCCTTTTATTTATTAAACCAAATATTGATTTATCGTATTATTTACTAATTTTCTTCTCGGAATATTGTGAGTGTCTGAATTTTTTAATGTTCTATTTTTAATATTTTTCTTTGAAATTTATTGTGCATAAAATGTAGACTCTTGTAAATAATGGCATTCTTGCAAATGTGTGCTTTTAAATGCTTATTATAGAGTTGTGAAATAACTCTTAAGTCAATGTCTATTATAATTTTCAGCTTTTCTTCCGAATTGAAGAAGTGGGGTTTTGAATATGTGACTGGTAATGAGCCTTTGCTATTCATTTGTGAGGCACCAGTGACCAAGTTGCACTATCTAGTTGTGGATGATCGCACATACACTTATGGAGTTGATGTTGATGATCCTGAGAGGATTCCACGTGGCCCATTTTTTATTCGACAACCTCGTGATGTTGTTTACGATTTATCAAAAAGTCAAATTGCAAATGACGTTTCTTTGAGGTAATGTGTCTGTACATGTTTTTTAGGCCATACTGTACAATTTTAAGCTTCTTTTTATTGATAACTTCAGTTCCTCCACTTTACTTTTATTTTTATCTTGTTTATCCCTTTCCACTTTCTTTTCTTCAAGTTTTCAGTTAATGGTAATTCAGTTCAAATTAACATTGTGAAGATATGACGTTTGAATAGCTATATTTTATTCAAAAGGTTCTCCTCTTAATGCTTGATGTTTAATGCTTAATGTTGTTATAGTACCTCTTTATTAACAGAATGTGATAAAACTTCTTGTAAATACTTGTGGATACTCCAGGTGATGATTTGGAAGATGATTTAATAGCATAATGTACTTCAAATCAAATGTGGCATAATGCTCTTGACTACCTTCCTTGGTGTTTATGCTTTCACCCTTATGTTATGTTATGTTGGATGGAAGAACAACTTAATCCAAGTAAAGCTGTTTTTCTGTTTCTGGGATTGTGATCTTCATTAGACTTCTGTGTATATGGGTAACTTATTGTAAGTTCAAATATGACACTAGAACTATGCAGAGAATTAGAGGTTACGTAGGAGCCGTTCCTCCATTCAATTACTTGAACTCTTTCTTGAGCCCTGTTCCTGTGCCTGTTTGTTGTGCTGGCTATATTCACTAGTTCAGTTTGTCTTCATAATTTGTTACTGTTATGTTAACACAAGAGTTTTAAGTTTGATTTTTGTCAAATGTCTGTCTGATTAAAGTACCCAGTAGTTGACTACTGGGGCAGGGGGAGAGTGAGGTTGCCACAGGGAGAGTGGGGCAGACATGTGGCAGTTTTGTATCAGATCAGCTTTTGAGTCGTTTATGTCCTAATTATTGCAGTACAATAACGTGTTTGTGATAATGACACTTCTTTATTTCATTAAGTACTGTTACAAAGATTTACCACATCCTTCCTTAAACTCTTGCTTATAGTAATTCCATCAATGTGAGGGATAAACATTCTTGCATTATACACAAAAATAAGATGAAAAGTAAGTACTGCAAAACACGTTTTGTAGGGCAATGTGTGTAGTCTGACTAAAGATTTATAAGACAAGTATTGAACCTTAAAATACTCTTTGTTCTAGTGCATAATTTTCAGAGAACATTCACTATTTCAAAAATTTAGAGGACTTTCTGAAATTATTGACTTTACGTGTATTTTACAATTTGTAAAGGGACACCCTACCGAATGCATTGGCATAAAGTATTATCAATATTAAAGACCGGATTTTCATGCAGTAAAACTCTGAAAAAAATATACAGTAAAAACACAAAAACGTGCAATAAAAAGGTTTTGCAAAACAGTATTATGTAGTCTAAAAACTTCAGTTAATCCATTTATCAACTTTTTTTTAAATTTTGAATGTGACATTTGAGGTGAATGAAATATAATTCTAGTATTTTTATTTTAATTAAGTCAGTACATATTGTTTAAACCATATTTTACATTTGAAATATTATTCCCACACAAAATTAAATTAGCATAAAAACACAAACAAGTATAAACAAAGTTTCCCTCATTTAAATTGATGAAGTATATACATAAATAGAAAAATACTAATATTCCTTCAGAAATCAAAAATAACTAAAAGGCAGAAGAGAAGTTTTGATTTTGAAAAGCTTTCTGAGAAGTTACTATACATATGTGCAAGTTGCTCTAAGCGAATTTGAGAGATAAGCAAGCGTGAGTTGTAATGGTTGTAAAAACTAGTTCCACAAGAAGTGTAGTGATCTGAGTGATATGAAATTTTAAAATTGTACAGCAACATTTTTAAAGACAGGGTGTACATATTGGCAATGTTCAAAATGTTATTTTGAGGTTAGTGTCTTTGAATCTGAAGATAAAAATGGAGAACACATCGAAAATTAAATGTTTGGAAAGTGACATTATAATTGAATGTGTATATATACCACCACTCTCAGTAGCAGACAATAAACATCTAGCTACACTATTGCATGTGGAGAATAGACATCCCAACTGTGAGTTATTGATCATGGGTGATTATAACCTCCCTAGCAGTTACTCTGGTACAGACAGTGAAAACATATTGTATAGCGAGATGTTCTTGAATAACTGTCTACAGTTAAATGAAATTAGTAATGTAAATAATAAAATTCTTGCTCTACACTTTAGCAGTGAATATGTGAAAGTAACAAAAGCAGAAGATATAATAAATGAAGTTAAGCACCATCCAGTGCTACATATACTAGTTGTCTTAAAATAAACAATGCACCAACATACAATTTTAAAATAGCAAACTGCAGGGAACTAAACAGTTTCTTCTTGAGAAGTAACTGGGTTGATCTTTATAATTTGGAATAAGTGGACGATAAGGTTAACTGGTTCTATAGTAAAATTAACGAAGGGATTGCGCAATTTGTCATAATACACACTGACAATATGAAACATTATCCATGCTGGTTTTCCAAAGATTTAGTACACAATATGAAACAGAAGAAGAGGGCACATGCAAATTGTAAAAGATCTAGAACTAATGCTGCATACAACGGATTCTGAAAACTGAGGTTAGAATGTAAAAAATGAGTAAAAAATGTTATAATGGTTGTATATTCAGAACTGAGGAGAAGATGAACACAGATGCCAGCCATTTTTGGAAATTTATCAAAAATAAGAAGCCAAGTGACTTCAATATTCCATCTACTTTGGCCTGGAATGAAAGAATGGCACAAAATGGAAATGAAGTGAGCAATTTATTCGCATAATATTTTGAAAGTGTTTATGCAAACTATTTGAATAATCTTATCGCTTCAACTCCGAACGGGAACAAAAAACCTTAAGCTAATCAGGATATCAACCTTACTGGATTCAGCATCCGCTTTGATGATGGTTGGAACAATTATGTAAGCTGGATTTGTTTGTAAAATAAAAGATGTTGGACCTGATGGTGTACCCAACCAATTTCTGAGAGATAGTTCTGTTGGACTCTTGGAACCCTTATCATACGTTTTCAGCAATTCTCTGGAATCTGGTATCTTTCCAATAGCATGGAAAGTCTCCTACATTAGCCCAATTCATAAATCAGTATCCAAATCTAGAATAACTAATTACAGACCTGTATGCATTCAATCAATATCTCAACTATTTGAAAATCTTATTCTGCCTGAAATAACTTTTTCATTTAAAAATATTATTTCAACAACACATCACAGGTTTACCAAAGGTAGATCTACTACTACAAATCTCTTCTTATATGTTAACTGTGTAATTAATCAAATGAATCAAGGTACAGATGTACATGCAGTACACTAGGACTTTATTAAAGCCTTCTACATGGTGGATCACGACATGTTAAGAGGTATACTGAATCAATATGGAGTACAGGGCAAAGCATTGGACTGGGTTCACTCATATATGACAGGAAGATATCAAGTTCAGGTAAATGGTCACATCTCAACTGAATGTAGAGTAACCTCAGGTGTTCCATAAGTTTCACACGGGCTGATCTTATTCAATATTTTCATCAATACCATCTATGATAAATTTAAATCAAACTATTTGTTATCTGCTGATGATTTAAAAATATTTAGAAAAATAACAGATTATGATTACATCCATAATCTCCAGCAAAATATTGATGAGCTTAGCAGTTGGTGCCTGAGAAATAAACTGAAATTGAACGTTGGTAAGTGTGTGTCTCACGGGGCAATATCTGTTCCAAGAAAAATGATGAATTTGAAAAGCATTGCAGATTGTCACTAAACTTCACGCCTGGATGTAAGGTCAAATGTGACTCGCCATCTCATGTTAGTAAGTTCAGTGAGTGACAAAACAGACATATGATCTGTTTGGGAAGATAGATCCCAAACATTGCGTTTGCTGAGCGGCCGCAACCAAGGGCCATGGATCCGTGCTTTAAAATCTCTGAAATTTTAATTAGATATTAGGCATCATGATAGGTAGAGACACACGCAGTTCATAGGGCAACAAAATGCAGAATTGATACATATTAAAAGGCACTCGGATGTCCCAGACAACCCAAATGCACTGTTGGGTTGTCATAACTTTTTTCTTAATGAAACCTTCAAAAATGATATATTTAATCAAGTTGATAATATAAAAATTATATTTTATGCAATGAAACTATATCTTGCTAATTCGTCCAAAAAAATCCCAAAATGTGTAATTTTCAGGCAGCGTTATCTAAAGCGTGCAACATCGTGCAGTAACCCCCCAAACGTGCAATTTTGTGCAAAATAAAACTAGTACTAATATTACGTTTGTTTCGTGATTCAAATTTCTGTCTAGGTTTCATCAATTTTTAAGTTAGAATGAAAAGATGCAGTAACACGGGAATCCGGTCTTTAATCATTGTGCATGCACAAGGAAACTACTTTACATTATTCTACATAAACCTTTTCGTTCAAATGTACACCTGCAATCAGTGTTTTGCAAAGTTGTTATAGAAATTTACATTTCAAAGAAGTTTTGTTTTTTAATAATCTTTTTATGAAGTTGTTACTTTCATCTTTTAGATATCTGAAACAAACCACAATGAAAATGGTGCTGAACGGCGCTCTTGGTCATTTGGCACTCAGCAATCTTCAATATTTTGTTGCATCGCAGTGTACAATTTTTTTCTTCTCTTGAATAAGGATCAGCAACTTTGCAGTGACATTGCAATTTGCAGCCTCTGATAGGATAATGGACCCCCCTCCCCCCCTCCCTTGTCAACCACTAGCTGTTAAATAGATAATCTTCAATTGAACAATAGTGATAATTATTGTTCTAGACTAAATGATAATGAGGCACAAGGAAGAAACTTAACCTGAATCTCATTTTAATTCTATTTACCCGAATATAAATTGTCTCTGAACATAAGACAGCCTCCCTAATTTTGAACAGGCTCCTGAAAATTTTTAGCTAATTCTTTTTTATTTAGTTAAAATAAAATTGCAAATTGTCTTGTGGATGATAATGTTATATCTTATGCCTGAGTTATCACTATTTTCTTGTTCTTTAAAATAATCATAATCACGGTCTTTGTCTCTATGTTCCTTTTGGTGTCATCAGATTTTGTTCCAGTCCCACTCTTATTCGTGGCCTCAGATCTGTAATGGTTTTTCACATTCTTTAACAGAATATACTTGAAATGCATGTCTTTGACGATGTGTGACAGAGTTGTGAATACATCTGTTCCTCCGTTTCACGGCTATTATTGGAGATGGCTGCAAGATTTCAAGTTAGAGATGTTTTTGCATAGAAAATATTTGTATGACATCCTTTGTGTGGATGAATGTAGAACGCATATGTATCGCTGTGATTTTTTTCATTTCCCTCTCTTGCAAACCACAGATTCATACTCGCTGTGTGTGTCTTTCTTTCTTTTGTTGTGTCTGTAATGGCTGTGGAAAAATTAAATCCACTTCTATATGGGAGAGTGCATTCTGGCAGAATGGTGGTTCCATGAAAAAAGATTGAGAAAGAAAAAAGTATTTTTGATGATTTTGGTAAATGTTTAGTGAAAAGAAAATCTTTGGAATATCATGAGGGTTAAGTGGGAAATTCTAACTGTTCAAAAACTCTACAATGCTGTTAAAGAAGATCCAAACATTACATTTTTAGGAAAAGAATCACATTTTGGAAAATATTAAAGGAAATCAGATTGAAATTTTTAAAATGCAAAAGTAGGTCAGTTTTAGTGGAGGGAGGCGCTATTGTTGAACGCCATGCAACATTTCAAATGTCTCTGAGAGAAAATGACGAAAAATACGTGATTTACACTGAGTCTGGGGTGCTTGCTACTCTGTAAATAACTGCTGGCAACACACTAAAATACCTGGGAACTAAAGAATGAGGGCACTGGCCAATGAGCAATAGTTCATACAGGCAGGTAGTGGAATTTATCAAAGGTGTAGAGCTAATTTATCACTCCAAATCTGCTTCTGGGGACTATCACTATGAAGCAAACAGTGAAAATTACAACAGATGGTGAACAGAGCGTTTAATATCAAACATTCTAGCGAGCAGTATTGTTGTTTTGGATTACGCACCATACCACTGTACGAGAAAATGATGCCCTTAATTCAAAAAGACGCAAAACAAATGCATTCGGGGATCCATTTATATAATACACATTTTTATCTTCATCAAGAAGAGAGGAACTATTAAAATTAATGAGATATCACAAAACTGAACCAATCTGCATGGTAGACCGATTATTAAGTGAGCAGGGATTTACAGTATTACACTGTGCGGGGTCCAGAATTTTGCTTAATGCCATCTGCAAAACCCCTTTATAAGAGACACCTAGGGGAATGGAATTTTGTCTCTTGTATGTGGGAAATGGGCTTTTGATGTGTTTAATGGAATGTTACCATATTTTTAATGGGTCAGTATGATTTGTAGACAATTTTAAACTTGAAAAAACATAAATTATTTAATACCAGAGCCCATTAAGCAAGATCTTTTGAGTTTCAATGTACAGCAAAATCCTGTTGTAAAATAGAAGTCGTCATACCTCCGTTTACATGTTATTATTCTTTTTTATGTATAATTCCTGCCTTCTCCGGCAAAATGTTCCCATCAACATCTACATCTCTGCACTGTTGAAACCACTCAAAAATAATCTTTTCCATTTCCTTGAATGGTGACAAATAAATTTACTTCCCTGTACCCATTTTCCCCAATGGCATTGATTTCCTCTCTCTTCAGGAAAAATTTTCCGAGTGATGATCTTCAGTGTTCCCAGCACAGCCCTCTGCGATTGCCCTTTTGTTTCAATCCCATTACTCGCAAATACGTAGAAGGCAAAAATAAAATTAAAAAAAACTGAGCATTTAAATCCACTCGCATGATGTGTGATATGTAGGAATAATGTATGTCCATGTGAGATTATCCATGTAGCAAAAGCACCGAAGTGAAATAAAATTATGTATACAGTGGCAAAACAGCTCCACTGCACTAAAAGCAATTAGAAACACTAAACACTTAGACATTGTAGTGACTTCCTTATTGCCAAGAAGCTTGCAGAATCAGCTTTCGCGAAGAGGACTGCCTCCTACTCTATTTTCATTAAATCTAACAATTAACATTTCTCATCTGTAACATTGTATTTTTGTCTTGTCACACTCTTGTTCACGGCCTCTGTTTCTTTAACAGTTACTAATTCGTTTTAAAGCTTAATCTGCTATTGAAATTAATCGGCTTAATCTGCTATTGAAAGAGGAACCTTAATTTTTCGAATGAGATATTTAGGAGAAACCTAGTCTTTTATTCAGGTAAATACAGTAATTAAAATATATCATTTTACCAATTCCTAAAAGTTTGTTTCCCAAATAGCTGTTTAGCTGGAGGCTATCCATCTCCTACTTACGAATGGTTTAAAGAAGAATATCATAATGATCGTCTTGTTTCTACACGTATTGATCCTTTGAGTGATAGACGATATACTGTTAGTGGTGGAGTCCTGATTATTAATGAACCAGATCGAGTAAGTTTCTTCTGTGTAATTTGTTTTGTTTTCTTGTTTCATTTTTTATGTAACTGTTTTGATTTATTTTATTTTTAATTGTTCAAATTAGACACGTGACAAGGGAACCTACCACTGTAAAGCTAAGAATAAATATGGAATTATCAGGTCTGAGAGTGTTACTTTGAAGTTTGGCCATATTGCAGAGTTCAACCTCAAAAGATCACCAGAGACTGGCAATCAGAATTGGGGCAAAGTTCTCTATTGTGATCCACCGACTTTTTATCCGTGTTAGTAAGATATTGATAATTATTCTACATTAACAGTCCTGTTTTAGTGATTTGGTGGTTCTTTCATAAAGGTTGTCTTGACTTTCCAGCTGTGAATTATTACTGGGCACGTGATAAATTCCCAAACTTAGTAGAAGAAGATAAACGAGTTTTTGTATCTTATGATGGAGGCTTGTATTTCTCTGCTCTTGAAAATATTGATTATGGCAATTATAGTTGTAATGTGCAGAGTAATGTGTCAGATAAAGGTCGCAATGGACCCATATTTGAACTTAGAGTACATCCAAACTGTAAGTACATGTATTGTATACATTGCATAATAATAATAATAATAATAATAATAATAATAATAATAATATTTAATACATTTTTAATCAGCTTTGAGGATTTGATTCTCTGAAGTATAGAGACTCGTGCAACTGAAATTTTGTTTTTATTTTTAGCTAATTATCAACAATTGAAGTTTCCGAACAATTTTCCTAAGGCATTTCCTGAAGCCCCTGTTGCTGGGAGGGAAGTGCGTCTGGAATGCATAGCATTTGGATAGTATGTTTCCCTTGGAATTGCTACTATCATTTCTTGAAATTTTTATTTGCCTTTATAATGCTTCAATTTTTTTAAATTATTTTTTTACTTGGTTTTGAAGTTTGGAATTTGTGTAATGTTTGCAGTCCTGTGCCTTCATATAATTGGACACGCCGTGGTGCAAGTTTACCTCGAGGTTCTATAACTTTAAATTACAATAGGGTTCTTATTATCCCTCATGTGCGAGTGGAAGATCAAGGAGAATATGTATGCCGTGCACAGAATGAACGATTGTTTATTGAAAACAGTGTTATTTTATCCATTCAAGGTATGTACCCATATTCAACATCATTCTTTAGTATTTCTCTTGTGGTTGTTAATCTAATTTTTAAGTGCACAATTACCACACCTATTAATGTAATGTATTGAAGTGTACAAAATCATTGGAGCAATAAAACTTACAACGGGATCAAAACAGAAAAAATAAATGTCCATTATCTTACAGCTTGAAGTGAGTAAATGATTGACCATCTTTGTTACAACTCACTAGTCATTCTTTTGAGTTAGGGTGACGTCCTGGAAAGCTTATGCCGTCTCACTGCGTGAGAGGTCTCCACTACTACGCAAATGACATAGTTTTGTCTACCGCTGCAACTGGAATTTTTCTGTTGTGATCTGGAGCTGTAATGGGTTAAGTGCGAGTTTTTCATTCATTCTTCCAATGATGCTTTAGTGCTAGGTTTATGGGTATAACAATGTGTCTGCTTTATCCAAAATAACTAAAAATGCAGGCAGACATACAGCAATTGTTCATTACTATTATAAAAGAGAATGTTCTCTCAAGAGATTTGTGGCTTCAATACAGCTTTGCTGTAGGTTATGGGGGAATTTGTGAGTGATTAATTGAGCACTTGTCTGACAAATCAAATTGATTTTGCAGAATTATGATAATTCAGAATGTGTTTTTCACAAAACATTTCTGATGGAGAAAAGCAATTTAATGAATCAGATTTCATCTATGTTAGCAATGTGCTACACCAGTAAATAATATGAAGATGTAAAAAAAGGATACATGTTGTTTCACGTAATCTATAATATGAAGACGTACACAAAAGGATTGATGCTGGTTTTAACAATGTTTAAAAAAGTTCTTCTATCATAAAATTCTCCAAAATTGCTTGGAAAACTTCCAGTACTATTTTCTTTTTTTTTAATTTTCGTGTACTCTACTAATTTCTGATATTGTACTGCTGAGAGGCACTCAATTCTGTGGTGGTTTGTTTGTTGTTGTTTTTACAATTTTTGAGCAATTTTGGAATCACATCCATCTTCTAGAAATATATTTCAAAGAAATCTCTCAGATTTAGTACCAAATACAATAGTTACATATTACTTCAGTATGGAACTAAACTAACCACATTTTAAATCAATAGGGCTATTTAGTCGTTGCATGGAAAAGTATGTACATTTTATCAGCTTCATCCCTTTAGCTTGTTTCTTCTTCTTCTTCTTCTTCTTCTTCACGCTCTCTCTCTCGGTGTGTGTGTCTCTCTCTCGCTCTCTCTCTCTCGTGCGCTCTCTCGCTCTCTTCTTTTTTTCCTTCTTTCAATTTCTTCATCATTTGCATTTGAAATTTAGGATATCTGCATCCAAATCCAGTTTCTAGAAACAAACATTGAACAAGATAAACTGCTGCATATGGTGTTTACCCAAATATAAGACAACTTCCTAAATAAAGAGACCTGAAAATTTTTTAAGTTTTAAACTAATTCTTACAATTGAGCCCAAATAAAATTAGAAATTGTCTAGAAAATTTTGTTGACAAAGTTAAAATTATTGATTGAGCTATCACAATTTTCTTGTTCTTTAAAATCATTTTTTTCACAATCAAGTTTGTAATCCTGGTATTTGTCACTACTGCCTTCTTCATTTTTTAGACTCCTCGGAAAATTTTGGGTGTTGAATATTGGCTTTCACCTATAACCACTTCGAAGCATCAGATTTTCTTGTCACACTCTTGTTCAGAGCATCTGATCTTAAATAGTTCTTTCTCAGAACGTACTTGAAATTCGTGTTGTTTAATGTTCACATGATCAAGTTGTTATCTGTGAATTTGTACTTGTATGTTTTGTCGGTAAAGTGAGAGAGTGCAGAAAGTTTTCAAATTAGGGACGTTTTGTTAAGAAACTTTCTTTCTCATGTGTAGCTTTCTGTTCACATATTTAAATAGGTTTATCATTTTGTCACTTTGGATTGGGTGTAGAATTCGTTCTGTCAACATGAATATATTCATCTCTGGCAAAATGCAGATTTGTAACTTGGAGGGTGTTGAGAGACGATGTGGCTTTGTTGATCCTGTTGGACTTGTGTAACAAAATGTCTGCAATGACTTTTATTATTTTCACATTGCATTTCACTTCATATAATGCAAGTCATTTGATATTCTTTTTACTGGCGCATTCAAAAATATTGATCAGGATCACCAGGTAAAGTTTTGGTTGATATGAAAAATACCTCTGCAAATATAATTAGGCATTATAGGTATGTGTGGTATTTATCACCTTCGTAACTTTTTGTTGTGTTGGCATTTGAGTTTTTTGATTGGAAAGCAGTGCAAAAACACAAATCCTAACCAACTAGGCTTAATCTGTGAATATAAGATAACTTATATTTTTTAATGAGATATTTGGGGCAAAATCTAGTCTTATATGTGGGTAAATACAGGAACGTAAACTTAAGTGCCTTGTGCAGTTCATGCATTCATTAACATAATTCTGCAATTGTCACATTTGTACAGTATTCGTATCTTGTTAGGTATAACTTAAGAGCTCATGATCACTAGAACAGTAACACAACTGAGATGGGAGCCAAAGTAGAAAGTGAAAACAAAGGCGTTTTCCCCTCCAACATTTACTGTTGCAGTGGTGAAAGGTGTTTCTATATATATATATATAGAAAAGACAGTTTTGGTGGTTTGATCCCCTTTTAAAAGGGAAAAAAATATTCAGATTTCCTGTATGAGTTTATGACAGAAGACTGCTAAAAAACACAATATTTGAAAAAAATTAATTTACAGATATTTTAATTAGAAGTTTACCATTTGAATTTGTTTGCCAATGTATGTGCAGAGAATATCTTAATTTACATGCAACTTTGCATTACAATAGTTCTAATTTGATGGTCCAAACTACCAGTATTCATGAGAGCAGGTGTTTCTCTTTATTCTGTCAATACTCCAAGTTTATGGTCTTTAAAAGTGATGGATGGGAGGACGTACAAAATGTTGAATCCAAGAATGTTTCTGAGCTTTTTGTAATTTATTTGCATTTTACAGCTGAACCAAATTTCACCATTCCTCTTTCGGATAGGCACATGGATAATAAGGCAGATTTAACTTGGACATGTGAAGCCTTTGGAATACCTGATGTGAACTACACATGGTTTAGAAATGGGGAAATTCTCGACATAGTCAATCTGCCTATTGAGGACAAGGATCGTTATAGTGTTGTTGACAATGTATTAACCATACGTTACTTGGATCCTGAGAGAGATCAAGCTATGTATCAGTGTCGTGCCAGTAACCAGTTAAAAGCAAAATACTCTTCTGCACAGCTAAGAATTTTGTGTTAGTACAATTGTTAGTTGTATTTATTTGAATAACTTTCCCTTTTGTTGAGAGTTAAAAAAATTTGTGATGTTATAGCACTAAAACCTTCATTCAAAAAGAGACCTTTAGAACTGGAAAGCTATGCAGCAGAAGGAGGAAACATCACTATTCGGTGCAACCCAGAAGCTGCTCCAAGGCCAAAATTTGTGTGGAAAAAAGATGGCAGTGTATTAGGTGAGTTGTAAAGAATTACAAAGGACAAATTTAAACCGCCGTAAAGAGAAGCGCACAATTTTGCAAACTTACTTTCTGTAACTTTTTTCTTCACTTTAAATAACTTTATTATTAATTGTGTAAGTTCGTCATGTTTTCTTCACACTTTTTCTGGGCCTTTCTCCCCGTTAGTGTATATCTCTTTACAAACTTACATTTTTGCTTTACATTCTTTTTCATTTTTGATATCTGAACTGTACATATTCATCATTGAAAGTTTCTATCTTTTCAACTCTCAGATGTTTCTAGTTCTAGTACTCTGTTTTTCAAACACTTTTAATAAAAATTTTAGCCTTGTTAATGTTTTTCTGATATCTGTGCTGAATTAATTTTTGTTAAAAGCATATGGAAAATTTGTAGGCTTATATTCTGTATGGTTATTTCCAGGATCGGGTGGTAGACGACGGATTCTTGAAAATGGTAACATGTTTATCAGTCATGTGTCACGAGATGATGCAGGTGTCTACACATGTAGTGCACAAAATACATATGGTTCTGATGAAAGCAGTGGCCGTCTCATTGTTTTAAGTTAGTAGATATCTCTTTTTAAGATTTTAATCATTTCTTTGTTCTTATGAGCTCATATGTTTGATTTTATTTGTACTTTGTAGGAGGCCCTAGATTTGAGCAGCGAATGGTGCCCCAGATCACTACTTCAGTTGCTCAAGATGTTGAGTTAAGGTGCCAAGCATTATCAGAGGAAATTTTGGATTTGGCATACATTTGGACTCATAATGGCTTAAGAATTAGGGATGTAGATGTTCAGCGTGGTAGAATGGTTAGTCTTTTGGAAAATGCCAAGCTATTTGCAATAACTGTTTTGTAGTTTCTTACTTTAATTCCTCGTATGAATGTCTTGCAGGATATTCATGGGGGGATGCTGAATATACGAAATGCATCATTAGCTGAAGCTGGAGATTATGAGTGCATAGTGAAAAGTGCTGTCGGCCGAATTTCCAGTAAAACTACTGTTCTTATCAGAGGTCCTCCTGGACCACCAGGTAATTATCTTCTGTGGGCTCTGCTTATATTATGTATTGTGATGGGGTGTGCTGTGATATTTTTCTTGTTACTTTTTTGTATTAATTTCTCAAGAAACATGCCCAGATACAAATTGAATTTTTCCAAATTTAGATATTTCAATGTACATTCATTGGGTTTAACTGTACATTTAGTTTTGGAATCTCTTTTATTTTATTGAAATTTTGTTAGTGGGCATCTACTCAATAACCAATGTTCTCGGAAACAGTTTATTATTGTTAAAATCTGCCTAATGTTTTTCTGTAAATTAGATGAAGATAATGGGATTTCCAAGCCGTATATTCAATATAATTTGTAGTACAGTAGAACCCCATTATAAATAAAAGTGCATGTCCACTTCAAAGCTATGCTTTCAAGAGTTTGTAGAAATGTATGGTGATAATCTACTCCCAATTTGCCAGCCTCTTGTTTTGTGAAAGACAATATCATAATCTGGTGAGTGAAAATGGTGTGTAGTATTTGACAAGAAATTAGGCTCATCATAATTGTGTACTTTGCATTGAGCTCATCGTCATGGAGATACTGGTGTTTGTCTAGTCCAGGGCTGTTCAATTGGATGCCTATTTGGCATGACCTGAGCAACCAGTGTGGTTTCCTGCTTGACAAGTGAGCATGATGCCAGGGGAAGGGAGGGAGTGTGTACTTGTATTGCTGAAAGTGGGTAAAGGATGAAAGGCTTGGAATGCTCAAGCATAGTCTAGAGAGAGGATAATGGCACATGCGCCACCGCGGTGGGCATCCACTGATAGTTTGGCCCAAAATCTAGCTATTGAGCAGCTCTGCTCTAGTTAACACTGCTTTGATTGCATGGATGGTGACATCTCAATATGCAAATTAAAGTTTTGAAAATTCCAAGTCTCAAGGCTGAAAAAAAGGAAGTTAATGTCAACATTAATAAAACTTGACATTTTGAGGACTAAATTTTAACAATACGTATCTCAAAATTTGGTCAATTTGAGATAAAAATGTCACCTGTAAGTTATGATCTTCCCTAATGACACATACAATAAAAAATTAATTGGAAATTTGCTAAAATTATGATTCCATTTTTATTAGCGTGAAATGGAAACTTTGCTATGTTTTTTCTCTCCTGAAAATTTAGATAGGTGAAGTTTAAATTTAGTAATTGATATGTAAGTATAATACAATTAAAATGTATTTTACGTGAATAAATAATGAACTCTTATTAGCATTATAAAAGTTCCTGTGTATAAGACAAAAAATCTAAGTTCCCACATGTCTCTTATAATGAGGTTCTACTATATTTCTTGTTTATTAATGATGTATGAACATGATGTACTATTGTATATTATTTTATTGTCTTAACAGGTGGTGTTCAGGTAATGAAAGTAACTAGCACATCTGCCACAATTGAGTGGACAGATGGAGCCGAAAATGGCCGCCCCATTATTATGTATTCCATTTCTGGCCGCACCAACTGGAACAAGACATGGGTAGACCTTGTCCAGAGTAAGTCATAGTCATAGTAGAGTAATAACAAAACTGAGTCAATATTTGATTTGCCTCCCATTTTTGTGTGTTTTGCTATAGATATTACAGCTAGGGAAATAAATCGTAACAATGGGCGTAAAGAAGCTCATATAGAAAATGTATTGTCACCGTGGTCACGTTATGAGTTCCGTGTAGCTGCAAGCAATGATCTGGGTTATGGACCCCCTTCAGCACCTTCTCCATTGCACAACACTCCTGCAGCCAAGCCCTACAAAGCTCCTTCAAATGTTGGTGGAGGAGGAGGCAAAATAGGAGATCTTACCATCACTTGGGAGGTAATACTTCTTAGTTGCTCTTCTGTGCCAATTGGCATTGACATTGTTGCAAACCTTGGTTGCGGTGGCGATGGTGTAATTGTTGGTGTATCGGACTGTTACACCCAAGTTCACGGGTTCAAACTCGATTGAAGCCGCAATTTTTTGCGATTGAGACTTTTAAGGGCAAAAAATCCTTCGTACACCTTCCTTCAGGGGGGAAGTAAAGCTGGCTGTCCCACGTTAGTAGATTTACTGCACGTTAAAGATCCTAAAGCCTAAATGAAGCCTCTGAGCTTAATTCAAATCGCCCGTTTCGTTGCCCAAGTGATACCTCCTTTCTCTGCTAGTGGGTGAAAGGAGCGCAGCAAAATTTGCATAGTCAGAAGGCTCTGATGGGCCAAGTCTCGCCACTTAAAATAAGGCTTCAATTCAAAATTGGTTGGAATTGGTGGCTTTGGTTTGTTTGGAACATTGGTATGTACCATTGTTTGGAACATTGGTTATTAACATTCTTACGTATGAATTTTTCTCAATCTAGGACAAAGTGCATTGTGCAAGATTTTCTTAAAAAATCATTTTTATTCAAACTTTATTCTAGTTTTACTTTCTAGAATATATTGAAAAGGAGAATTCATGTTTTCAATATAATAAACATTGATCATGTCAATATATCTTAGGGAATGATATTGATGTTTGTATGAAGCAGACATGAACAATTTCTCTGTAGATAAATGTCTTATTTATTTTTAGCCTCTAGCATCTGAAGATCAAAATGGCCATGGTATTTACTACAAAATTTTCTGGCGTCATAAAGAGCGTGATACAGAGTATCAAACTTTAGAATTGAAAAATGAAGGTAATATTGGTATTGCTGTGGTTTCTATAAAAGCTGATGATTATTACACAAAATATGAAGTAAAAGTACAGGTAAGGAAACTTCTTTGTTGGGATTTTATGAATATATTAAATATTTTTGAAAACAATTATCAACAAAAATGCTGCAACATTTATTTTGTAGGCTGCTAATGATTTGGGATATGGACCAGAGTCTGCACCAGTAATTATCTACAGTGCTGAAGATATGCCTCAGGAGCCTGTGAGCTCAGTGATTGCCTATTCATTTAACTCTACTGCTTTGAACGTGAGCTGGTCGCCAGTGGACCAATCTCGAGAAAAAATTCGAGGAAAACTTATTGGCCACCGAGTGAGTTTCCAGTGCAGTGAATATGCAATCATTATTGTTAATGAAATGTGAATGTTGCAGAGTTCCAATAATTTTAAGTACCAGAATGAGAGCTTGAAAAGATATCCAGAGATCAGAAAATTTTGAATGCATGAATGAATGAATGAATGAAGAGGTGTTAATTGTTCAAGAATTGTCAGAACTTTCTCAAATTTCATGAACCAGTGTAATGATACTATTGTTAATTTAAAAGGGTTCAGAAGAGAATTATAAGCTACACAAATGAAGTTTTGTGATACATGCTAATTTACCATTTGACAAACCCATGTAAATTAATGGAGAGCTTAGAAAATTGATCTGGTTTTCTCGTAATATAAGAGGAAGATTGAAAATTCATAATACTGAATGGAAAGAAGATGGTTCAGAGAACATACTAGAGGTGGCTCAGGGCAACAAGTGGGCCTGTCACTGCTGTGCCTCTGAGTGGCCTCTGAGTGGGAGGTCCTAGGTTTCAGTCTTACCGGTGGCAGGAGTTTCGACACTTTCTTGTCAGCTAGATCGAATTCCAGTGGCCGTCTGTTCTGATCGATTGAGTGATAATTTTCCATTATCAATACCAGGCGAATGTTGGAGCAGTACCTTAACAAATATGCCATGTATCACGCACGATCTTCCCTTCTTCTTCCTTGACCTATCTTTACCCATTTTTCTCTCTCTCTCTCTCTCTCTCTCTCTCTCTCTCTCTCTCTCTCTCTCAGTCTCTCTCTCTCTCTCATCTCTCGTCTGCGTCTCTGCTCTCTCTCTCTTGCTCGTTCTCTCTCTCTCTCTCTCGTCTCTCCTCTCCTCCTCTCTCTCCTCTCTCCTCTCTCATCTCTCTCTCTCTCTCTCTCTCTCTCTGCTCTTCCTCTCTCTCTTCTCTCTCTCGTCTCCATTCCTCTCTCTCGTCTCTCTCTTCTCTCTGCTTCTTCTTCATCTCTCTCCTCTTCTCTCTCTCTCTCCTCTCCTCTCTTCTCTGCTCTCTTCTCTCTCTCTCCTCTCTCTTCTCTCTCTCTCCTCTCTCTCTCTCTCTCTCTCTCTTCTCTCTCTCTCCTCTCTCTCTCTCGTCTCTCTCTCTGTTCTCTCTGCTCTCCTCTTCTCTCTCTCTCTCTCTCTCTTCTTCTTCTCTCCTCTCTCTCTCTCTTCTTCTCTCTCTCTTCCTCTCTCTCTCTTCTCTCGTCGCTCTCTCTCTCTCTCTCCCTCTCTCTCCTCTCATCTCTTCCTTCTCCTCTCTCCTCTCTTCTCTCTTCTCTCTTTTCTTTCTCTCTTCTCTCATCGTTTCCTTCCTCTTTCTCTTTCTCCTTCTCTTCTTATCTCTTTCTCAGTCTTCCCTCTTATCTCTTTCTCTTTCTCTTATCTCTTTCTCTTTCTTTTCTCTTCTCGTGCTTTCTCTTCTCTCTTTCTCTTTTCTCTGTTTCTTTCTCGTTCTCTTCTCTTTGCTCTTTGCATCCTTCTCTTTCTCTTTCTCTTTTCTCTTTCTTCTCTCTTTCTCTTTTCTTTCTCTTTCCCCTCTTTTCCTCTTTTCCTCTTTCTCTTTCTCTTCTCTTTTCCTCTTTCTCTTGCTCTATTCTCTTTACTCTTTACTCTTTCTCTTTCTCTTTCTCTTCTCTTCCTTTCTCTCTTCTCTTTTCTCTTTCTCTTTCTCTTTCTCGTTCTCTTTCTCTTTCTCTTTCTCTTATCTTGTCTCTTTTCTGCTTTCTTCTTTTCTCATTTCCATTCTCTTTCGTCTCTTTTTGCTTCTCTTTATTCTTTCTCTTTCTCTCCTTGCTCCTTTCTTCAGAAGTCTCTCTCCTCTTTCTCTCTCTCGTTATCTCTCTCGTTCTTCTCTCATCGCTCTTCTCATCTCCTCTTTCTCATCTCCTCATCTTTCTCTCTCTCTTTCTCTCTCTCCTTTCTCTCTCTCTTTCTGCTCTCTCTTTTTCTCTGCTCTCTCTCTTTTCTCTTTTCTCTTTCTTCATCTCTCTTTCTCTCTCTCTTGTCTCTCTCTCTTATCTCTCTCTCTCTCTCTTTTTTCTTTCGCTCCCTTTTCCTCCTCTCTCTTTCTTTCCTTCTTCTTTCCCTCTCCCCCTTTTCTTTTCTCTTTTTTTCTTCTTTTTTTTCTCTCTCCTTCTTCTCTTTTCTGCTCTCTCTTTCTCTTCTCCTTCTCTCCTC